AATATAAAAAAAATATTCAGATCATAAAGACCTGTTATTGAGAGTTTGAGGTAAGTGGGGCAGAATCTACTGCATATGATCATGTGCAGCCTCCTTCGTTATCCTGAATCGCGTTAGAAATTCGCTCTCTGCCGTCGCCTCGAAAGGACCCATGCGGTCGACCGCAGGTCCTGCAGATGACGTAGAATGATTCTAAAGATTGAATTAAGTTTGTATAGTAAATATGCTACACTAATCATCTTGTCAGTGGTTATAACATTTAATCAATTTCATGGTGCAATTGCTTAATTCCACGGTGCAGGATGACTTTCACTCGAAAAGTAGAATATCTAATTATAAAGCATAGGGAGTGTTCTTGAAATAATATGTAAACTTTCAAATTCTGGCAATAGAAATTGAATGCAGTAAACAGTATATTTTAAATGCACAAAGCTTTATGAAACATATCGTTCAGCGATTCGGGATTATCGCAAAATAATATAAAGCTACTCATGTAATGATATTTTTTTATTTCATATTCCTTTTAAGTATGCTTAATCTGAATTTCGTGACCTTATGATAAGGGGCTACTGCATTACTACGTAAAAAATTATCTTACCTTCACTATTGGAGTACAACTATACAGCATACAGTCAGTCAGTCGTCAGTCGCCAATATTTGATGTCGATTTTCAGAGGGAAGCAATGTTAATAAAAAAAAAAAACTGCATGAATACATTTACAAGAGGAAAAACAAGCAAACTTTAATTTTGAATTAAGATTACGACATTTATACTTATTTAATATCTAGGGAAATATACTTTTGTGGTACATCATTTACATAATTTGCATTTGGAAGAAACTGTGCAACGCGTTCAGCTGATTCACATTTTGTTCCAATAATGTGCGCACAAGAGCGGACAGCACAATCGTGAATTCCAGAATATTGACGGCACAAAATGTGACCCAGAATTCTGACATTCCACAATTGAGCAATCTATGGTATGACTAAGCATATGGTTTAGCGTGGAGTGCGGCGTAGTGGTGGCCACATTTTCTTTAAGAATACGACGGTTAGAGTCGGCGAGTGCGCAGCGTACACTACATTATTATTATCATTATTATTTTTATTATCATTATCGTTATTATTTTTTTATTATGAATATTAATTCAATTTTTATCAGTACCATCATTATTATCTCTATCAATATCATTATTATTATTATTATTATTATGACTATTATGACTTATTATTATCATTATTATTACTATTATTTTTATTCATATTTTTGTTATTATAATCATCGTTATTCATATTATTATAGTTATTATAATAAAGATAATAATGTTAATTATAATTATTATCATTGTTACTGCTATTATTATTATCATTGTTATTATTATTACTAGTAGTAGTAGTGTTATTCATTATTGTTATTATTATCATTATCATCATTATCGTTATCATTATTATTTATATTATCATCTTTATTATGAACAATATTGTCATTATTATCCTCTTCCTCCTCCCCATTATTGCTATCATTATCAATAATATTATCTTTATTATTATTGTTGTTGTTCGCTCGCTGTGTGTGTGTGTGTGCTAAATCTATTTCATTTGTATCTTCGTTGTCTATCGCACATACGCTCGCATGCATGCATACGCGTACATACACATGCATTTGCTTACCCAAACACACACACAGAGAAACGCACATACACACAGAAACACACACATTTCTCATATGTATATATTTTTTTCTTATTCATTTTTTCATTATCTTTTATTATTATCATTATTTTATTTATCTATCAATTAATCTATTTCTGATACTACAGATCCAAAGTCCTACAAAACCATCGCCTGCTTGCATTCCCAAGAGAGCAAGCGAGCAACTGCCGGCCGCAGACGCTCACCACCACTGCTCTGGGACGTCCGGGCCGTTGGCCAGGACGCCCAGACACATGTGGAAGGGCGGGCGCCAACCTGTCACTCTTTACACTTGATTTTCTTCTCAGAATTTTTTTTATCTTTTCTTCATCAGTTACAAATTTGATATCTTCTTTCGTTCTTGTCCACAACACCAAGGACGTGAAAACTAAAACCTCAAAAAAATCCTTGTAAAGAAACAATTATTCTAGTTTAGGAATGATAAAACAATATAATGTTAAATATAATTAAATCATTTCTTATAAGAATAAAAACTATTTCATACAAACTATCAAATTTTGTATAATATTTATGTCATTATGTTATTATATAGTTATATGCACATGATAGTAATCTTGACTAAAGATCATTTTAAGATTATTTCATTATAAATATTCTGAACAATTACTCTTTGAATGGATTTTAAAGTCTTAATAATAATAAGAGAGACACATAAGGACAGTGTTCAAGCGCCACGTACCAGCCACTAGCTGTGAACTGTAAATTAGATTTATAGCGTTTTAGGATTTTTTTAAAGACATAATTCCAGCTGAATGTTCTTTCTTACCTCTGATACTTTAATCACTTTCAGGCTATTACACGGCACTCCTCTCTTATCTTTCTCTCTAGGATTATAGTTATAGTATCATGATTTAGCAATGTATATACTTAAAAATTTAATGTCTACTCAGATCACATATACCGCAAGTATATAGTTGTTCTTGATCTATACATGCATAATTTCAGAACTTAAATGAAGCTTATACTTCGTAGGGTAAACTACCATATTTTACACTGTTTCCCAATCTTAGAAAAATAATATATATATATATATATATATATATATATATATATATATATATATATATGTACATATATAACTTTATACAATAATAATAAAATAAAGTATCATCTTTCTGGAAAAATAATTAAGTACTTTTATCTTACATAACTAAAGACTAAAGCTGATAAATACTAAAGTGTGGATTCTAGACGAATTTTTGGGTCATTCAAACTTCACATCCCTTGAGGTCGTTAGAGCGCCGTGACCTCGTGGCCGTCGGCGCTCGTCTCCGCGATCACGTTGACCGGCTTGGCTCGTTGTGGGCAGGTGGATCTCCTGCACCTTCAGCGCCAGGGCGTAGATACCCCGAAGGCTCACGGGGGCACACACAAACGTACACGTACACATAAAAACACACACACAAGGACACACAGACACAAGAACACACACGCACACACACACACACATACAAACACACGCATAAACATAAATGCATAAACACACACACACACAAGCACACATGTAGCAGACAAACGCAGAGAACGAAGTGCAACGGCTAATAGACCATGCAAAGAGGCAATGTAATATATGAAATATAATATATGATACATATGATACATATATTTTTGCGCGAGCGCAAACACACACACACATGCCCACACGCGCGCGCACACACACACATGCACATACGATGCACAAATAATACATAATACACACATAATAATAAAGCATCTTTATATTTCCCATACTGCGGTTTTGCGTTCATGTGATGTTCTATAATGGAGAATATAACGTAGCGTTTCCTGTTTATCGAAAAAAGTGTCACTTCATTAGTTCGATCAGCTGCTACTAGATGGTGCAGCTTCGAGAAGCACTTGCTAACTTCTCAGCGAATTTGCAAATTTCTATTTGATTTAGATGCTATACATAGAGGTTTTAAGTATGAGGCATTATTGATTGTTCTGTTCAAATAAAGGTGGGAAGACGACATACCTCCATAAGTGTTGCCATTTCGATAAATAATTCAAAGAATTTGAAAAAAAAATTCTATACAAAGCTAACGATAATTAATATTGCACGTTTTGCAACCAGTTATTTGAAAAAAAAATCAAATAGCTTATTTCGTTTCTAAAAATAGATATTAATACACTTACTGGCTACTTATATTCTACCAATCACGCTCTTTGTAACAAACAATTTAGGGCTTTCGCCTCATTCATAAAAAAATACTATTTACGCTGTGTTTACATCAAGGTGGTTGCCAGATGTACAAAAGCGGGACCCAGCATGTGTACTGAAATCTAATTTCGCAACTGTACATATACACATATAAGGCCTTTTAGTAGCATCCCAAAATCCGTAACACTTTGATTCATTGTTTAATGCAAGACAATGATCATCGAAGTTTGTTATTACATACAAAGTTGGAGAAAGATTGTTTTTCTTTTGCAAAAATCAACAGAACACAATTAACCTAATTATTATACTAGTATCTGTTTGTTTAGCTTTTTTATTAGAAGTAATACATTATGGAAACCAAATATAATGGAAAAGCACGTGACCATGCAACTTTACATTTAAACACACCACTTCGCTTTTATCAAATTCAGACAAAACATTTTTCCCCTTTTTCTTGCTATATGCATTGCAATTCATAAGGACAGTAGAATTTGTTTCTTGAAGTTTTACATCTTATTGCAGCTGAAACTCCTTCATCTGAATATTTCCAATGATTAAAGGTATTTAGTTGTCTTAATGCCTGTAATATATCAACAAATCAAGGTAGACAGCAAGTTCTTTGATATTTTTGAGCCTGTATGGTTGTATTATTTAGTTACAGATTTATTTGGAATATATTCAACCTACCAAAGTCAATACCACATCATATGGCCCGGTCACGTTGGAAATTCTTACCATGTTTTTTCAGCGACCGTCATCACTGAATACATAAGTTACTTACATAGAGTGAACTTGTATTAGATTTTGATGTACTGCTAAAAAGGTACACCTTTTTTTTTATTGCGTGAAACATGTATGAAACATTTCGCGCTCTGATTGACTGCCCGGAGTGTATCACACTGTATCAATGCAGAGATATAAAAAACGAAAGGGTGTATTAACAGGTTCCAATAATGTTCACGTAAAGGACAAACCTATTTGAGAGTGTATCGAAGTGTTATCAGCTTCGGAGATGTTACAAAAAGGCTTCTACGTAAAGGATTTTGTATATTTAAATCTTGTGAGAAATAAAAGACCTTTTTCTTTATTTCTTAAAGCATTTATAATCATTCGTTTTGTACGAACA